CGAGGGAGGGAGATCCAAGGAGGCCCAGGGAGGACGAGGGAGGGAGATCCAAGGAGGCTCAGGGAGGACGAGGGAGGACGAGGGAGGGAGGCGTCACTCTTCAGTTTGAAAACGAGTATTTGTAGAAGCTTCAATGCTCCAGGTTCTGTAACAGGATGGGCTCTTTGGCTCTTTTTCCCCAACACGTTTCCTCCATTTATGGAGTAAAAGGCCAAATGGGCGGGGCTTTGAGCACCACCTGTGGTCACCTGTCTGGTTCTCAGACCTTCGTCGTGTTTTCAAAGAGTTCAGAATATTCTTAAACGTACTTTTTTGAAGAGTTCATCGATGGGATCCTGGACGCACCGACTGCTGAACACCTCAGCGATACTTTGGATGAAGAAGGAGCCGTACGCCGGGTGTTTGTATGCAGCTATGTCTGCAAACACAAACAGGTGTGAACAGCTGCGTGTGACAGTGATCAGTACTGGATGCTGCAGGACTCACGAGGCGCGCTGCAATGAAGAGTGATGAAATCCTTTTCTGTGTGCAGCCGAGCAGCTTCATTTACTGATCGAGCTCTCATGTTATCTGTGGGCACAGGCGGTCTTCCAGGTACGAGCACTGAAACAGACAATGCTTAGTGAAACGCCGTGTTCACAGCAGCCGCCAGCAGCGCGCGAGCGGAGACTCACCTCCTCTGGACGCCTGAATGATGACGATCTTCGGTTTGTCCTTCAGCGCGGGACAGTTTCTAGAGTTTAAGCGCTCATAAATTCGGTCAATTTCCATCCTGTGATTGCCCGTTCCACAGATAGTTCCCATGCCTCCGTGGGACATGACAACAACAAACACGCTGTCTGTGAGGGGCAGTGTCGGACGTCTGCTAAACCTTTTCAGAACTTCGTCCATTTTCTGTAAGAGCAAAAAGTCAGACGTCAGTCGTTGGATCGCTGTGGAAAAGCAGTGCAAGCCTCAGTGAAGGAAAGTTACCTGTGCAGGTAGGTTCCGATGTCTATCCACCTCGTATCCCAGAGTGTGGAGCAGGTTGACCACGGCCTGCTCATCTTTGTCAGCCCCGTGTCTGGTTAATGCCGGGTTGTAAAAATGCATGTTGTTGATCAGCAGGGCGACACGCTTTGTCCGTCGGGGGACATTTGTAGCCTGGATGTTTCTGGTCATGTTGTCGGTGCTCATCGCCATCGCTGCCCTGCGAGAAGATCAGAGGACAGAATCGGGCTCAGTGGATCCGTCATGAACAGCTGCTGAATGAGCAGCGCTGCTCAACACGCTGCTCAACACGCTGCTCAACGCTGTCATCCATCACAGACGCCACAGTGATGCAGTGCACAACATTACCACATTATAAATAATATTATTGTTACTGTGTAAAGGAGGCAGAAGTAAAAACGTCCACATGTACACACGATCAGCACCGAGCTACAGGCTTTGTTCACTGCTCGCTTTCTTTGCTTGCATCAAACTTTGGATATTTTTTAAACAAACATGTTAGTGTAATGACAGCTGTAGTGTTGCTGTGGTTATTCAAACGTTCAGCCTTGTTAGTCCTGTCTGTAAATGAAAGTTCTGCCACAGAGATGATCTCAGGTGAAAGTAGCTCCGCCTCCCGGGTCTGAACGGCAGGTTCATTCAGCCTGATGCGCTTTCAGCCTGCACGTGTGCGATTACACTGTAGAGTAATCACTTAAATCCTCATTCAGAGTGTATTACTATAAAATGTGGTTCACTGTGAGAGTAGTATGACATATAAACTACAATATACAGCATCATTTTTAACTTAAGGAGTAAGTTGCAGCCACAGTAAAATTTAATTCCTTGAACTGAATGGAACCTCATATATTAATAAATGTATTTGTTTATTCAAACAATGTGAAACATTATTACAGCCCACTTTGTATCAAACAGCCAGTCTCACTCTTACCAAAAAGAATATTCAAGTATACTTTAAAAACTAGAAAACAAGCAAGTATACCTTTAGTTTACTTTGTATGTATTTTCTTCCTTTTTTAGACCAAATTACATTTAAGCATCAGCATCTTTTACCTTTTGAACAGAGTAAGTGGGGCAAATCATTAATTTAAAAAATGAAATTGTGAAAAGGGTCAATAGTTAATAAACCTCACCTCTCAAAACACTTTCTCACCTGTTCACTATATGATTCTGGTGCTTGAACTATGGGAGCAGTTCTTTATAAATGAAGCCTTCTGATAGTTAGATCTGATATCTGGGGAATGAAGAGATTTGTTACATGTGAAAAATATGTTTCAATTGCATTTTAATTACTGTTTTTCAATCAGAAGTAACTCAAGTGTAAACTAAAAAGTAAATTAATAGTATACTTGTAAGGTTAGTATTGTGATAGTCGAGTATATTTAATTATACTCTTGTAGACATTATGACATTATGCTAGTACTTTTATGGTGAACAAAAAGTACATCTCAAAGTTAATTTCAAGAATACTGTTGTGTACTAAAACGGAGGCCAATAAAGTCCCCAGAAGCATTATTAGTGTACGTACTAGGTTGGGAAATATAATTGAAGTACGCTTATTTTTGTATGGCCAGCAACAAAAACTAATGGCTACATTTAGAGTAATGTTTAAACATGACTTCATTTAGCAGGATGTTGCTTTTTTCTCTTCTTATTCTTTCTTATACTGACCTTCATTTGTTTTGTATAAGGTGGTACTTTTTAAGACACCTCTGCCTAACTACAGTGAACTGACCTAATCATATGCTCTGGTCGTCATTTTACACAAGGTGTCACATCCATGAAACCTGCACCACTAACCAGCATCAGTCCTACAACTTCACTCTCAGAATTAATAAATCCTGGGACATCAGAAACTGTATTTTTAGCGGTGCATTTTGTGGCAGGCCAGACTGCTATTAAATGCTCTCCTAAAGAAATAATTCCTTTGTAGCACCACTGCGTCTTGGTTCAGGAGAGATGTCCTGATATACGTGATAATGTAACACGGGTGTTTATGTTTGTTCATGTTTAGCGCGTCGGGTTGTGTTTTTAAAGCTTTGTAATGCGACAGGTGCGATAGCCGACACCACACCTTCACCTGACGTACAACGTGACGTATGACGCACACGTCGTGTATTCACTTTCAAAACAACAATGAGGATAGAAAATCGAAAATATTGCTCGAGGTGGTTAATGCTCCTTTCGCTGGTTGCCAACCACCATTAAATAACAACAAGAAGAAAATATTGATCTGCTTCTCTTAGTTTTGCACGTTTAAGACGCGATTCAGACAAAGCTGCAAAGCAGGAGAACAACATGGCCATCAACTATTCTGTGCCACAGATTCAGTTCGCTGCAGCACAGAGTGATGATGAGACCGTTAACATGTGCAAAAGTAGTCAGAGGTAACTGGATGTTCAATCGGGTTAAATGCAAGGTTGATTGGATTATATCTGAAGGTCGTATGCTATTCGTGGTAACGCTAGACTCCAAATTGCTGCTCGTCCATGCGGGAGTATCTCAAAATTAAATGAAACCACTTAACACTTCTTCCCTAAAACGGACTGACATGGGACACATTAAAGTTGGGTCGGAACCAGCTAATCAGTCTGAAGGTAAGTGTTTTATTCACTTATTCGAGAGAAGTCCGAAATGCGCTCTTATTACTGTTTGTTTTGACTTTTAAGCTACCAGGATATTTTCATTCAAAGACAAAATGTCAATATCTATGAATGTGGAGACTCAAAAGACT